TGCTGAGCAACTAGTGCCATAAAGATCAAGAAGTTCTCACAAAATGAGGGTAAAATTTTTGGGCGGTGACTCATATAATTTAATTTATCTTCCAAAAATTTGACATGGAACTTTACGTAATACTCATTAATTTCGAGGGATGCCAAGCAAAAATTTTTGGAGCCCATAATGTAGTTTTTATACTAATAAGTAAAAGTCAATTTTTTAAGAGTTAAAGATAAATTTTTCCTTAACTATCCTCAGTCCATCAACATCTAGTTACATCCTTCACTAATATGTTCCAAAATTGTATATGTTCACACACACACACACACAGAGACAGACAAATACTGACACAAACACACATACATGCATACATATGTTTTAGAAGATAAAACAATTTTTTGAGCAATAAAGATTCAAACTTCATTTTAAAATCATATAGAATTATGATTTCAGTAAACTTACACTCAAACTGACGAACATAATGATCTGAGTCAAATCAAGGCTAATTCGAGTTGTTATGCCATTATTGAAAGTTTCTGGTGCCCAATTAAAAAGTCAAGCGGATTCCAAATTTGACAAGTTTATGGCTGGTGCCCAATTAAAAAGTCAAGCGGATTCCAAATCTGACAAGCTTATGGTCAAATTGAACATTTCGACAAGATAAATCCAACGAACCTAAGATCACTCAATGCTGACCTCTTTAAGACACTCAAATGTCCACATAATGTTGTCCGATCAAGGGAACCTTTTCGGTCCATCTGATGAAGTGGTTCAGATTCCTTTCTAATTTGCAGGGTGATATCCCAGGATACATGGACCGACACCAGAGCTTAAAGGATCAAGAGAAGAAAGAGCTGAAGCCCAATGTCATTTCTGTACCAAAATTCCGACGAACTTTTTCCTCTTATGCAGTCACCAACCAACGTGACCGCTATCTGCCGCCACTTGCTCCTTGCAATCAAACTCTTTGTGGAAACATAAGATGTGCCATAGAATCTCGACATATGTTGTAAAGTAACGAAACACTAGATGGTGGAGTGACACCTCAAAGTCGGTATAATAATGTTCAAATATGGTGTAATGATGCTATCTCGAAAATGGTGCAACGGTGCACCCTGAAGATGGTATAACATTGCACCCCAAGTACAGTGTAACCCCCCGCCATGACTTATATGACAATCTATGACCTACGTGGCTCATAGCTCGCGTATCTTCTGACTAGCTCCGATGGACTATGGACTTCATCTTAGCTCACCTCTATGTCCCACTTGGCTCACAACTCGTGTTGCTCTTAACTCTATCATCTGTAGCCTACATACGTCATCACAACTTACCAATACATCTACATGACCAACTACATTCTACATGACTCACAACTCACATAACTCCCAACTTCTGCCTTTGCAGTCTACGAACTTTATTATAGCTCCCGATTCGGCCCCAATGGCTTACAGATGTCATTACAACTCATCACTTCGGTTTACGTGAGTCATAGCTCACACAGTTCCTAACTCTGACTTCTTTTTCTTTTGGACGTTAGCATAGCTCGTGCAGCTCCCAACTCTAATCTCTGCGACCTATATACATTATTACAACTTTTGTAGCTCCCAATTCCGGCATCTGCAGCCTATAAACGTTATCACAACTCGTGTAACTCTCAACTCTAGTCTCTGCAACGTCTGTTTTTGGCTTATGAAAGTTATCATAGCTCGTGTAGCTCCAAAATCTGACCCTTACGACTTACAAACATTAACAAAACTCATGTAGCTCCCAACTTCAGTCTCTGTGGCCTACGGACATGGTCGTAGCTCACGACTATGACCGATGTGGTCTACCACTCATGTAGCTCTAACTCTGATCTCTATGACCGACAAACATTATCGTAGCTCACCACTACGGCCTATGTGGCTCATAGTCCTTGCAGCTCCCAACTTCGACCTTTGTGGCTTACGGACATCACTACAACTCATACAACTCCCAACTCTCAACTCTGGCCTCTGTAACCTAAGAATGTTATCTTTGCTCATGTTTCTCCCGACTCTGGTCTTTGCGGTCCACAAATGTCATCACAACTCATCATTATGGCCTATGTAACCAACCAACTACGACCTACGTGGTCCCCAACCTATGCAGCTCCTAACTCTGGCTTCTACGACCTACTATTATCCTTGCAATTTACCAACATGAGCTATGTGGCTCACGGTTCCCGCTACTCCATATATACTATTTATGGCCAACTAATTCTTCCGAAGTAATAATCTGTGGGCTACATAACCAACTATTGCCACGACTTTCAACTACGGTCTCTATGACAACATGACGCTACAACCACCGTCTACAACATTCACGACTGGCTACCACCTTCGTAGTCATCGACTATGGCTTTTGTGATTCGTTATAACTATTATTGAATTGCCACTGTATATCAACATTATAATACTTTCTTCTCTAATTCTGGAGAAGTGCAAATCCATATACTCACAATTACATAGTTGATTATTTTAAACTGGGTGAGACCCTAATTTTTCTTCTTTCTAGGGTTTTGCACGTAAAACCTGAGGTGTCTTGTCTTACTTACTTCTCTTTTATCTGTGCGTGTTGGATTAATTTTCAATCAATGCAAAGTCACTAAATAATTACTCTACTGTCGTGTGTGGACTTTTTGGCACACATCAACATGCTTTGACAATATCAACATCATATTGTCCCCATGAGCTACAAAAGTAAGAAAGAGTATACAAATTTCAAGATGAAAAAAATGAACACGTTGATGTACCTGTAATTGACCCAACTTACTTGACATCATGATCATAATCATCTTCACTAACACTAAAATCCTTTTCAATAAAACTTCACCGTTATTAGGGCTGTAAATGAGCTAGTGCATTCAATGAATATTTCAAATTTGGCTCAAATAATAATAAAACAAATTTGTTAAAATTGAAAAATAAGCAAACTTGAAAATATTTAAAAACTTGAGTGTTAAATGATCATAACTTGAGCTTGGTCAAACTCATTTATTAATGTTCATTAACAAACTAGTTTGTTCAACAAGAAATATTAAATTCTTGATATTAAGTTTTATGATAACTCATATAATATATGATATATTATTTAAATAAAATCTAATTAACCAAAGTTTATTTAATAGTTTATTTAATTATATATTTAATAGTAAAATGGTCTAATTTAATGTCAATAATATTTTAGGATTAATTATTAATTTATAATTAATTAATTAATTAATCAAATTTATTAAATAATCCATCATTATTCACCATATTTAATCCATCACACTTTTTAATTTTAATTAATTTATCAGTTATAAATATATAATCTTTTTTATCAATTATATAATCCACATTTCTTATATCATATCTTAGATATTTAGTCCTTTTGTCCTTTTATGAATCCTTCTTTGCTAAGCACTGAGCAATCTTAGCTTATCTTTTTCGTTTTTGTGATTCTAACTTGCTTGTTTCACATGAAATGCTTTTTATCCAAGTAATTATTCATATATTTTTTTGGCTTTTTTATTTGTTATTTCAAAATTATTTATCTGTCATTAATGAATTTACATATTAATCTAATGTAATTACTTGTTATTTTTTGTATTTCAATGAACTAGTTTGCTTATACTCATTTAGGTTTTTTTTTTGCGAGAAAGCTTGCTTGCAACTTATATTATTTTATTTAATTAGTTTAAAAAGTTATGATGCTAATTCAAATCTTATTCAATTATTTATTTTCTTAGATTTATAAAATCATTTGTTAATTGCTTTATATGAATATCCAAGTGTTCATTAAAAATTTCAAACTTGTTTATTAACTCGTTGTAATACTCATTTCAGTAATATAAACAAGCAAATATAAATCAAGCATGATTATTAAAATTTTTAAACAAGGCAAATATAAACGTGCATGTGAAAGCATGGCTTGAGCTCAAACAGAGCATAAAAAGCTAAAACTATGACCATACGAATTCATTACATAACTCGGCTCAATTATAATCCTAACCATCAACAATAAAAACATAATTTTTTGAGCCGTGTCATTAAAAAAATACACTTTATCATTACTATGTGACCCAACCGTGTCAAGATATTTCCTGGTTGTGCTTGATTCTAATCTTTTAAAATAATATCAACAATAATATATATACGTGTGCCGTGACTTTTTGGTTGGGAGTTACGTTGTCAGTTGTGTGCCGCGGGTTCGAGCCAGCCTGAGCGCATTTGCCTTGCAATGCGGGATCGAGTGGTTAGGCACATAACCAATCTCTTTAAAAAAAAAAGATCTTTTCTATCGAAAATGTGTTGTGGAGTATTGTAGGCACACATGTAAGACTTTTTGAAATGTCATGCTTCATAGGCTATAGCTTATTAATTATAAAAATTTTATAAATAAAATATTGTTTGAACAAAAGTGTGGATCTAAGGAGTTGGATTTATTGTATATTAATGAATGCATAATGTGCAGGTAGTGTAAATATTTATCTAACTGCTTCTAACTAGCTAAACATCACATGACATGTGAATTATATCACTGGACTTAATTTTGTTCGTCTGCCTTCTCAAGACTCCAACAAATTACTATACTTTTTATACATTTGACTGGAAATCATCCCTCTGTAAAATTTGAAGCTACCAATTGGAGGCTCATTTGCCACATTTCTTCTCTTTGAGGATGCCTACCTCTTGTAAGTTGGATGCATCCCCAAATTTTGAGAAGCTTTTATAATGTTAAACTTTGGCCTATCGGAAATTGCATTATATCTCTTGATGACATGTTTTATAATCGGAGTCTCATATAACAAATTTATTTTAAAGAATCTTTGGACTTGACTGGATGATGGATACTTTGCTTTTTATTTGGTGATAAGCTCTTAAAGTTACTTTAGACTAGAAATTAACTTTATGAAGATTATAACATTACTGGAATTCACTTTAAATAGATCTAGTTTAGTTGCACTGAAACCTTTAAACAACTTATTTATTTTCTGGCCGTCTCTCAGAACTTTTTGTTGCTCTTCAATGTTCCAACCAAATTACCTTCGCTATAATACAACTACAGTTTGATACCTTTTTTCTTGCCGTTTATCATCTTTTCTGTATCTGCAAAACACCATTAGACAAGTCTCGTTTGCATAGCATCATTGCACAAATCTTCTTTTTTTTCTGTTTGATAGTTATTCCTGTGTTTTTCCCTAGTTGGAAGTGTTCAAGAAAACCCTGATGCAGTCACTTAAAGAAGAAGATGAAAATTCTGTGAGTTCATCTTATTTGAGAATCATTCCGCCATCTTTCCTTTCTTCCAACTTCCATTCTAGTTTTGTTCTTAATAATGTTGCTTCAATTTTTCATATCTAACTCCAACTTCGAGGATTTATCCTTTTTGTTTAAGCTCCGATTCTCTAATTAACCCATTTTTCTGTAGCAAGTTGGAGCTTCTAGGATGGCACAGATCCAGATTTCAAAAGCATCAAGTTTTCCATCTGGAGGTATGAATTATAATGCTAATTTTTAACTTCATCAGTCTTTTAACCAATTTTACTTCTTTTATCAGAAGAGGATTCTTCTAGTCCACCTTCAAAGTCAGTCTCAGCATCAGAAACTGTTCATGCAATTTCTAATGATTCTAATTATTGTGATGTGGATGGTAAGCCCCTCTCACTTTCCTTTTAAAGTATGCAATTGAGTTTCTCATAAGCGCTTCTGGTTTTCGTCTCGAAACTCCAGCTTCTAAACATGGCACACTACGGGGCTTTGATTTAGCTTCGCATGGTGGTACGCCAAGGCTTACTCCTCCAGGCTCTCCTCCCAGAATTGAAACGGGATTAGCACCAAAAATTCTTTCACGACCAATATCTCCAAGAAGACACTCTATTTCTGCTGCTGCTGCAAGAAACATGATTGATGATCGGCCGGGGACTCGGCTTCCCTCTATGGCATCTTCTTTTGAAACAGGAGCACAAACCGGTGAGGATTCAGATTGCTGCTTTTGATATATTTCCTATCCGCATGATTGATAGTCTTAAATTGTCCTGAAAACTAAAATATATCTGAAAGCAGAAGTTTAAAAGCTTTAGTAAAAGCAAAGCAAGCAATGTTTTACAATAGAAATTTGATTTGTCTCTTTGGATGCGTGTGCTTTGATCAACCTCAGAGTAAGATATTGGATCTAACATTCTGCTGTAAAACAAACAATTTAGGTCCAGATTCTTCCTTATTGTAGCTGTTCATTTTTTAACCTTCAAATACTTTTTTCCTTTTTGTTCATTTTTTTGATAATGTGGCAAGATAGTCCTGGACTATTTATATGCGGTTATTTTAATCCGACTAATTTAAAATTGAGCTCTAATAATTATTCATGGGACTATTTCAGCTCTAATTTAAAGAGTCTCAGGACTATTTTGGCACCTCTTCAAACTCTCAGACTAAAAAGGCCCAATGTAAATAGTCGGAGACTATTTTGGCACTTTAATCTTCTTTGATATCATGTTTTAACTTGCTGCCAAGTCTTGTTCATTTGATTTTCTATCTGCGTGATTTGTTTCAGGTCGAACCAAAGTTGATGGAAAAGAGTTTTTTCGCCAAGTCCGGTATGCAAACTACATTTTTTTTTTTTTGAAAGTGTCCCGCAGGAATTGCCACATGATTAAGGGATTTGATTGTTTTTAGGGGGCTTTTACATAAATACCACCAACCAATTCCTATGTATTTACATATCTAACACCTAAATTTTATTTTCTACATTTATACCACCAAAATCTTTCAAATTACATAAAAAAATACCGCCATTTTAACATTTAAAAAGTTAAATACATGTTTGAACCTATCTGGTTCATCTTAGTACATGCATTTTTCGTATAATACATAAATAACCAATTAAATTTTGATAAATCTAATAAGAATTGCCCACTTGTCAAATTTCCTCACATGAATATAATGAACACATCTGGTTTCATCTTCCCTCTTTTCAGGAGCCGCTTATCTTATGAGCAGTTCAGCACATTTCTAGCCAATGTTAAAGAACTGAACTCACACAAGCAAACAAGAGGGGTATGAAATATTCATTTTTTTCTGCTATTTTGAGTTCTTAATTTCACAATCTTCTGTTTTTATTTATTTATTTTTCACTATAATTAATGGAACAAGCAAGAGGGGTATGAAATATTCATTTTTTTCTGCTATGTTGAGTTCTTAATTTCACAATCTTCTGCTTTATCTATTTATTTTTCTGTATAATTAATGGAACAACTGGTTCTTTGCGTTCAACTTGTTTATAATTTAATTTTAAATTTTTTTTTTGTACGGCCTGCTTAGCAAATGATCCGAATACAAACTACTTAACGAGTTGAATACAAACTGTTTGTATTGTTGTCACATGGGGCTCTTGGTGTGGTTAGTGGTGAGAATCTTTTGGTGTGTGTGTGTGTGTGTGTGTGTCTGTTAAATTTCTATAGATATCATTTCTATGCAATAAAAGATGCATAATCACATGATCACACAAACTGTGATGATTTAAATTTTGATTATGCATCTTTTATTGCATAGAAATGATATTTATTTAAGTTTAACAACATATAATTATTCAAGTATATATATATTTTTAAGCTAAAACGAGCTTAGTACGGTCAAACAAATGGTTCTTTGCGTTCAACTTGTTTATAATTTAATTTAAATTTTTTTTTTTTGTACTACCTGCTTAGCAAATGATCCGAATACAAAGTACTTAACGAGTTGAATACAAACTGTTTGTGAACGAGTTTTTCTTAGCAACTCTAATAGTGGCTCATTGGGTCACTTGAGCGAGCGTAAAAAAAAAAATAGTTTTTAGAAATTTTAAAAATATTTGTAGAATTAAACTTTTATTAAATTTTAACTACATAAAATTAAATAACGTAATAAAAAATTAGCATTTTAAGAATAAAGTTTAACTCGAAACAACCAAATGAATTCTTGAAATTTCAAGAATTAAAAATAAATAAATCAATCAATAAATCAAATTAGTTTTTAGCATATTGTAATTTTATTTTCACTGGAATAAGGTTTGGAGTTGTGGTTGACTTTGTGGAACAAATTATGAGTCGAATGATAGAACCAACGTCTCCATAATTCAAAACAGCTCGTTCTGTAATATATATATGACAATAGATCGAATGGCGTCGGTGGTGGGCAGCTCTGTTAGGGTTTCGCTCGATGGCGATTCCTTGCGTTGAATCCATGGCTTTCAATCCATCAATTTCGTCGTGGCCAACGACGAAGGTCTTGTCGTACTCCATGACGAATTCGACTTTTTCACACGTCTCCTCCTCCCGACGCATTCGCGCCATCATTTAGTCTTGCCCAACGACGAATGACTTTGGCTCCTTTGTTCTGTCGTCTTCGTCGAGCTGAGCCTGTTACTAGCAGGGTGCTGCTTTTTCGTTACGTCTTCATTTGCTCGACTTTGAAGGGGGTTTCCGATGATCCTCCTTTGGATTTTGCTCTTTCATCGCTTCAGACTCAGGTTGTATCTTGCCTGATGGAGTTGGCATTGACGCTTCGTTCTTATGCCACTGCACTTGCTGTCGACAATCCTACTTGTGCCCCTATTTCCAATTCAGAGCTTGGTTTTGGTATCGGTAAGTCCTGCATTGTTCCACAATCTTTCCGTGAGGCTATTGAAGGTGGGTGTGATTACACTTTCATTAAAAAGCTTGATTTAAAAAAAAAAAAACCTGCTCTTTTTTTCTCTGAGGTTGAAACCAGTACTCTTGCGTCTTCTTGCGTTTTGCTCTAGTAGGAAAATTCCTTTATGGTCACCCTAAACTTGAGATCATTCGGAAAGATTTTGATGTTATGAAGCTATCAGGTAGTTAGAATATTGTCTTACTTGACGACCGACATATACTTATTCGGTTATCTTACGATGCAAATATTGTCTTACTTGACGACCGACATATACTTATTTGGTTATCTCACGATGCAGATTACACTCGTAATTTTTCTTGAAAGGTAATCATGATTGACAAGCGTTTTATGAAAATCCTCAAGTAGGTTGTCGACTGTGATCTAAAAGCAGAGTCCTCTATCATTCCCGTTTAGATAAAGTTTCCGGGGTTAAAACTACACATGTTCAACTTTGAAATTCTCTACTCCTTAGCAACTGCTTACGGTAAGTCTCTCAAGGTTGATAGTCGTACACTTGCTGTCACTAGACCCTCTGTGACTTGTGTGTTAGTTGAGAGATATATCACCCAACAAGCTCCGGATGAGATATGGATTGGATTCACTCACAATATTGACAAAAGGTTGAATTGGAACCACACTCTCCTTATTGCTTTCATTGTAATATGTTTCACCACAGTTCTACTATTTGCTATCGCTTGCATCCTCATTAAGGCAGAATATTAATAAAGATAAGCAACAAGTTCAAAAATCTATTCGTGTTAAATTGGGGTTGGATGTCTTGCCACTTACCATCCCTACTGAGTTGGTGTAACCCGACCCTCTTTTCAACACCACATATACCTCTGCTCATCTGGCTGACGCTGTTCCTGATGGGAAATTTTATGATAACCCTCCTATTCAAACTTTTGTTGTCTCAGATGAAGAACATCATAGCCAAGTTGTTCTACCCCTGGATGCTCCCGCTTTTGAACAATCTCTTCTAGCTGCTAGATTGGAGTGCTCCCGCTTTTGAACATGGTACTCTGAAATCTCATGAAACATCTCCCCATACTACTAGTATAGATCTAAACATGTCTGTTCCACTCATTGCTATTGAAGAATGATCACTTACATGCCAAGACACACGAGAAATAAAAGATCAGCTGGCACAATAAGCAGATGCTTCCAATGTTCAACAACCTACACATGTCCGACACACTTTAGACAATCCACTGATCAGATGAGCCAATCTTCAGATGAGGATGACAGGTCTATTCCAGAAGGAAGAAGAAGAATGGAGTCCGACTTGAGCTCAGGAACTTATTGGACGATACATTGGTTACTACTGGCAATGACACTCATCTTACCAATTTGTTAGCTGACTCCTTTCCTCGAACTAGAGGCAGGGCAAAATTGGGTCGCTCTCTAACAACTTGATACTACGTGTTTTAACACTTTTGGTTTTTGAGCTCTCATATATTTTTCTGGAACCATTTTCATGTGGTGTTTACTGTGTGGTTAGGATGCCAAGCTTGAGCCCTCTCATATAATATATCTGTATCTTTCTTTCTTTTTAATATATTAGCCCTTGGGCTTTCTCAAAAAAAAAAAAAGATAGCAAGTATAAAATTTGATGATTTTTGTAAATATGTTTTATATGCTTTTACCTGTACACGTACCAACTAACTTAGAATTTAATATTTTTCTTATCATAGAATTAAAGAAACATATTTCAATCAAATTTATAAATTTCAAAGATTCGTGCTATTTTGAAAAAAATTGACGAGTCATAAAAGAGTATTTTTTTGAAGGCATCCATCACAGATCTTGAAAGATCTCTATATAAAAGATTGGATACACAATCTGAAGAATAATATATCATTTTAGTAAACATAGATATTATCTTGAAATGTATTTAATTATTTAGATGAAAATTTTTAAATTTCATGAGTCTAGGTTAATCAGAGATTTTTTCTCTGCCTTACGGATGTAAAACATAATTTATTTTATTTTGGAGTCTGATATCCCTAGAGGGGCCAGTTCTTATAATTAATTATAAGAAGTTGTGAACTCGTGAGAAAACTCCTAATTGAAGTTTTGATATGTATTATTTATAAATTCAAGATTGAATATTTTAAGATTGACTTCTTAAGGATTTCAATTGATGGATTCAAGATTCAAAGATCTTCATTTTTTGGAATTCAAGAATTGGGACTTACAGTCCAATGACGATGTGTTATGGAAAGACCCATGAAATGGATTAACCAACTCTGGGAAGAAGGTATACACCGGAGATTGAAATTAAGAAATCATTAAAGGAATTATGTTAAGTAGAATTAGGATGAAGTTAAGCATAACCACATTAGAATGAATCATAATTATGTTGAGCTTGTTGTTGGTGTGACGTAGTTACATCAGCATTTGGCATGACCATGCTGACTACGACGTGGTCACACTAGATCGCGACATGGTCAAGTTGCGATCCGTCCAAGTTTATATTGGTAAGAAATTTCATTCAAATTTTAACGAAGTCATAAAAATAAATTCTTAGGGAAGACCTAGAGGGAGAAAAGGAACTTCTAGGAGTTTCTTTTTTGAGTTTTTAGAGTGTTTGTATGAGAGAGAGGTTGAGTACAAACCTTAGGATTATTCATTCTTCTTCCTTAAGAAAAGGAACTTCTAAGAGTTTCTTTTTTGAGCTTTTAGAGTGTTTGTATGAGAGAGAGGTTGAGCATGTGTGTGAGCGAGATTGTGGAGAGTTGATTATTGTAAGGCTAGATTTTGTTATATTGCTGAGGGCACTTCCCTTAATTGTAAGTTTGTACCATTTTGAACTTGTATCTTCAAATATTTTAATGAAATTTTCCATGCCCTTCTCTCTCATATCTCGTAGCTAAACTTAATTTCATGTTCCTGTGATGTAAGGATAGTTTTTATTGATTTTTTAAGGTGAGTTTTTTTCTATATACTTTTATGTGCTATTCTCATATCTCGTAGCTAAACTTAATTTCATGTTCTATATACTTTGATGTGCTTTTGAACGATTCATGCTGATGTGTCAACCTTTTGATCATTAATTAAGTTTAATTTGATCAATTAGGTAGTTAAAACTCTTTGAGATCTAGGACCTCAAACCTTCTCTTAGAAGAACAAGTAGGTTAAGATAGGATGGCCTAATGGAATAAACATAATGCTAGTAGGATATTGTAACATATATAAGGGATCTGAGTAATCTTGTAAAATGATGCATGGTTAAGTCCTTCTTAACTGTAGTATGATTTCTAATTTTTCTCATGACCTAGACATAAACTAAGGAGGATTATGTCTTTGGTTGTCAACCATCACGTAGGAGAACTCATAGGAAAATATCAAAAAAATTACCATGCTGGTGTCACATGAACGCGATATTCATCACATCTGAAGGACTTAAAGTTGTTACCTACTATTTTTATTTGCTTGATATTTCTATCTATTACTTATTTTAGAAATATTGTATTCTCAATCTTGCATTTTGATCACCTCAAACTAGAGTTGGTTTAATAAACTAGAACTTCATTTGTTAGAATTATTTTGACATTATCCTTTTAGGATCGATATGCGAACTCATAATTTGTATAGTACTTGATCGAAACTTTCATTTGCGTGATTGACCAATGCCTCATAGCATATTTTGGGCATCACATACTTAGCACAACCCTCAATCACATGAGTCAAATTTACATTTGAGCCACAAAAAATAATAATTTTAAAATTTGAAGTTTGCGTTGGTTAGGTGCATACGTACCTGGGTCGCCCAGTCTTCAAGATCGAGTTATAAATCTCAACACATCTCTCTAAATATAATAAACTATCACTCTTAGCATGCATGTGACTTGGCATCATTATTATTTCATAGGCGGAGATAGCTGTCGACCCTCTCCAGGTTGGGTTATAAGTCCAAAAGAGTCAGAAAAATTTCACTTCTATGTAGGATTAAAGTTTTTAAGTCTCACTTTTTCTCTCTTAGACTAGAGTTGAGCCCCATACTCATATTAGTAGGGCTCATTTTTGTTTAGAGTTCAAGATGGTCCTACTGAATTTATCATAAAGTAGGTCTTCTCCAAGGTTGTTTCATGACTTGTCTCGTTGGAATACAAGTCATAACCTTCTAAAATAAAATGACTAATGACAAAAAATGTTAAATTTTAATTTCTAAATTGTGAAGACCAACTATAAAATATATTAGAGCATCACCAGGCTTCCTAGTAGTTAGAGTTCCCTAATCCTTATTTTTTTTTAGCTTTTAATAAGAACTATTTCAAGCTTAAGTCAATCTCTTTTAAAATTTCAAATTAATAATCTTGAAATTCAATCTTTATGATCTATAAAATTGCTAGCCACTTATTTTAATCGAGAATTATCCTAAGCGATAGCCCCTTTAAGGACATAATTATTTTAGTGGATTCCCCTTTAGAGATCCAAAACTAGATAAAATAAATATTATCCTATCTTTTTAGGGCAGGGAAAAATTTTTTTATTAATACAAACCCATGGAGTAGTGAAAAATTATTTCTTGATTAAATCCATTGTAGGGTAGTATCTTAGATTCCCAGTATGATATATTATTCCAAATATTATAATCAACCACAAATGAGAAATTTTAAAACATTGTTCATGGTTCACACATTTTATCTCACTGGAAAAATTTA